TTGTCATGATAGGGTTCTTCGATCTCCTCTAATAACAAGATTTATATTCCTCCTCATCTCTCCGGTTCTATGGTAACTCCGTCACTGTTCAGGCTGCACTTCTCTGGAACTCCTTACCAGATGATATCAGAAAAGCGCCTAACAAATGCTCCTTTAAAAATATAGTACGCGAGCATTTACTGAAGAATCATTGGAATTACAACATTGTTAAATAGTCGTATTTATATTCAGGTATTAACTTTGTATTCATGTATTTTTATATCCATATATGTGTATGTATGTAGGTTTTATATGTTTATTAGCATATGAATATATTTATATTATGAATATGTGTTGATATATGTAAATGTACGAATATACCTACATATATTTTTTTCTTTTAATTGCCACACCTACGACAAAATCTCACTACTCCATAGGTTGATGGTAGAGAATGCCTTTAGGCATTAAGTCGCCCTTTGTATCCTTTTTTTCTAAGGGGACGCAATAAAGTTTTTAAAATAAAATAAAATAAAAAGACTAAAATAACAAAAAGTGGCAGCAATGCTTATGGTATGTTACTATATGAACTTTTTAAAACAGAAAATGGAACCAAATTAGAAAATTTTTATTTTATACTGATGGCTGCTAAGGCCAGATAGAAAAAATTAAAAATATCCTTGTATAGTAACAAGTTTTTCGAAACTGGACATCGAGAAACGAAACAGGAGAGGGGCAGCAGTAATCTCATAACAACTCAAAATTATTAAAAACACTGCGGCTGATATGCGCTGCAGCTATTGGCAAATATCTCTACACTCAGTCTCTTGATAGGCTGTGCATAAATAATGCATGATGTAATAAGACTAAAATAGTAAATTATGATACAAAAAAACTACTGAATTTTGACAATTGGTGACATGATGAATATATTAAGATAACGAATGGGCTGATCTTGTGGAGGTCAGTGTTTCACGTTTACAAGGATAAACAATCTTTTGAGGTATAATTTTTAAGATTCAATAAAAAAGTTCTACTGTTGATGGATATAAGACGACATTTGGAAAAGTTAAATAGCCACAAACGCTGTTGTTAATCAAAAATGTTAACAACAACTAATAATAATGCGTTTGAAGAGAATTTAATTTTTATAACTATAACTTATTTTTAATAATGATTATAATCAATTTCAAAACAAAATTATTATTTACTTAACTTTTAAACTACGTTTATAACTCCCCTTTTTTGATCTCATGATAATTTGTGATATTTATCAAAATTAAAATATTTTAATTGAAATAATACTAGTTTTTAGGGAATTTATCGCGTATATTTAACTTTTTAAATACTCGACGTTTCGAACGCTTTAGAGCACTCATGGTCACGGGCGGGACTGAGATGTTCAACGTCCATATGTCATAGTTAACCGCGGTTACCATAGATTAAAATTTAACTTTTGTTCCGATCTATACAGTATGAACTTATGGTATCTTGAAGTCTTGCAGTTGTATGCTTGGGTTGAGTTGGTTGAGTCACTGACAAGATTGGCTACATCTTGAAGCGTGCTTCCATCAAAACATACTTCAAGCCGCTGAAGAAGATTGGTCAGTTTTTACCATCAGTCAAGTGTAATGTCCCTCTGCAAGATGCAGGAGTGTACAAGCTTGATTGTGAATGTGGTCTCTCCTACATAGGACAAACTAAAAGATCAATAAAAACCCGCGTTAAAGAACATATAGCTGATGTGAAGAATCGACGCTCCGGGAAGTCTGCAGTCTGTGAACACGTACAGGATCGCCCCCGTCACTACATCAGATTTGATAGACCACAAATCCTCGCTAAAGAACACCGATTCCTTCCAAGGATGATTTGCGAGGCTATTGAAATCAAAAAACATCCTAATTTCAATAGAGAAGATGGCTGGGTGCTACCATCTGCTTGGGATCCGATAATAAATAAAATTAAATCTCAACCCAAGCATACAACTGCAAGACTTCAAGATACCATAAGTTCATACTGTATAGATCGGAACAAAAGTTAAATTTTAATCTATGGTAACCGCGGTTAACTATGACATATGGACGTTGAACATCTCAGTCCCGCCCGTGACCATGAGTGCTGTAAAGCGTTCGAAACGTCGGGTATTTAAAAAGTTAAATATACGCGATAAATTCCGTAAAAACTAGTATTATTTCAATGTGTAGTGTTCGCGTAAACATAAGAAATCATTATAAAATATATTAAGCCTACAATGGTAACTTTGTGTGATTTTGATAATATAAAATAAATTAAAATGATTATATTCATAATATTTTAATATTTTTTATAAACCTTGGCATAAACTTTCATTTGCCTCAAAAAGTTTGCTAATATTAGACGATTACTTAGAAAATACAATTTTGATTTTTACTGCAGAAACTGTGGTTTTTTTTGTCTAATATATTTAAAAGTAAAGCGATAACTTTGTTATACTCGTAGTACATTAAATTTTTACTCCTGGATAAAAAATGGTTCAATAAATCATAAGTATTATATCAGAAATATTATAGTGTTACTATAATATTATAACGAAGTTTTTATACGGATCCCTAACTTTTTTTAAATATACTACATCCTATGTTCATCAGGGATAATGTAGGATTCCAATGGTGATTTTTTTTTAAATCGGCCCAGTATTTTCTGAGCCTATTTAATTCGAACAAAAAATATTTCCTCCTTATAATATTAGTGTATAAAATCCATAATTGTGGCGTTATTTAGATTAATGTTAAACGAAGACCATTTATTTAAAAAAAAATTAAAGAGTTACGCAAAGTTACATCACAATTGGTCCGCCCATTCCGAAGTTTAGCCCAGACTGTCAGACAGACAAAATTTTTAAAAATAGTAATTTATATCTTAGTATATACATCCATACACTTATATAATTTATGTACACTTATGAATAAAATTTTAGTCTTTCTGCAATATCAAAAGAACTGCATTTTATCGAGCTGAAGGGATTATTTGCATGGCATTAAGACATGAATAACCATTAAAAAAAACAATCTCTATGTAACTGTCTGACTATTGTCAGGGCTAATCTTTGAAATAGCTAATCATACTGACCTCTATGTATACATACATAAAGAGGTCAGTGGCTAAACAGTTTATGAAACTTTAACATATAGAGAGCAATTCTAAAAGAGTTCTAGACTATTTTATGTGAAATTATTTCTAAATCGAAAATTGATAATATAAACGGCTTTTGATAATGATCATGAATCTAAACAACGCTATATTAACAGTTTTCATTCAGATGAATCCGGGGCAGGTTACTAGCTTTTAATATATTTTATTCTTTTCTTTTTGTTAATATTTTTGTTTGTTTTTATTTTAGTTTTACTCTGTATGTTAATTTAATTTCTTCATCCCCCTGTTTGAGTTCATTAATTCATTACTTCACAACATAAAATAAACGCAGCCGGTCCCATTTGTGTCATAATACCCTCAATTCATTTTCATTTTTTCATTTGAAGATTAATTAATAAACCGTTCAATATGTAAGACCTACAAACAACCCTTTTGATGTACTTAACCACGCTCACGTAATACCAAAGGGTTAATATAATATAATGTTCAGAGTATCTGCGTTGGAATGAGACTATTTTAATCATATATTAGAATACATTTTAAAGTGCTGTAACACAAAGCTAGTGTTACAAGGTAGGGAAACGAAGGAGGTCTACACGCGAGTTCACATTAATAGCATAGAGCCCCGAGTCTAATTTAATCAACACGGACATCGTACCAATAGACACGTAGAAATTGCGAGGGGCGGTCATGAAAATTAATGCGGCTTCCGTACTAACGGGCGTTTACCCCAATAACCGAGGCAGAGATTATTTTCCTTGCTATTAGTTGAGCACGTGGATTCGTGCTTAGTGACGTCCATTCTCAGAGTATAAAAGTTACAATTATTACTGTCAGTTTTGATTTTAAGTAGCAGACAAGAAAAATGACTATTATAATATCCTCTCTTTTGAACGAGTTTCGGTCACGGTGGCCAGTCTTAACGGAAAACACAGGTGCACCCTCTTTTCCCTCTCTCTCATAGTACGATGGGACGGTATTCCGACCGTAGAGATATCAGGCGTAGGACAATTGTTTAACGTGCGAGGCACGGCGGTAAAAAACCACCACTTTCCCGACTCCAGGCTTCTACTGAGAATTTTTTCACAGAATAACACCCAATAACTGAGATTTGACCCGACTTTGGAACCTGATGATCAGATCATATTAGCGACCACCAGACTAACAAAGCAGTCATTAAGATGAATTTAGAATATGCCGGAAAAGCATTATTACCTCCGTTGGATGGCAATTTAATGTATTTTTTTATGGGAAAAGGGTTACAAGCGAGCAAACAGCCCACCTGTTGGTAAATGGCTGCTGTGGCCCATAGACATCTACATCTATCCTCGTTTGCGAATCAAAATCCAGATGCGTTGTCAGCCTTAAGGACTTAGATGATATGCCTCTTTTCCAGTAAAAAGGGTCTCCGGTCCTCTACACTCACCATACGAAACACAGCAGCATTAAGCTGCTATTTGACGCTTGTATTCAGCGAGAGCGTGGTCCTTCCCCGGTCGAGCCGACCCATTCGTGCTACAACTATTCAATAAATATAGCTGCAGCATAGTTCTACCACGAATTAAATTCTCTACCGGTATTTAAATTCAGTGAAGAATAGTCTTAATTTAGAATAAATAAAGTTAATCTAAGGCTATTTGTTGATTGTCAGGCAAACAATGCATGACAGCAGAGCTATGTCCTTTCTAAAATAAAAGCGATAAGAAAAAATAAGCTCTTATCTGCCACATCTCCACGCAACAAAAAATTACAAAGCTTGTTAGACCATTTTCCATTGTTATTATTATTATTACGCTTGTAATCCATTGACCTTACCATTTGAGTGCGCCGACGAAACCTATTTTACGAGTTAATCTGCTGTTTCACTGGCTTTATTGTAAGAATTTACGATGTCTCATAAAAAACAAACGTACGCCTATGGTGAGTATTTTTTTTCTATTTATCTTTTTATTCGATCGCGGCATTGTTTAAAAGGGAATTAAAATTTATTAAAATTGTGTTTTTGTCCAATAGTATTTAGTGAATGATAGATCAATCGATTTCACACAACTGCGCGGGTAACATATATTATATGACGTCACCATAAAATAAAAATGACGGAGGTAAGAGGCAACTACTTCAGTAGAATTTTATTGCTTCCAGCGTTATATCACATAATTTACGCCGGAAGTCTGAATCTGGGGAATTTCCCCAGATTAGCGATGGGATGCAGCGTCAAAGATGTGAGACATCTGGTACGACGATTGTCATTCCACCTGGCAAGTGTTATGATTAAGACAAATGCTATAAAGGGAAAGGATTATGTTCAGCAGTGGAATTTTATAGGTAGAAAAAAAAGAGAAATATATTATTTACGTAGTAACATCATTCTGCGGTTATTTTATTATGTAGATATAGATTTCTTTTGGCCACAGCATCCAGTTGCCATCAGGTGGACTGTGTGCTCGTTTGGCTTGTTACCTTTATACTAACAAAAAATCTGAATAACGGTTGACCCTGCAGGTCATCCTTGGAACTTCCTACTATGTTCGATATCAAAACGCTCGACAAATATTTTACGAACTAATTACATTACGTTACAAAACGACCCGAGCAGTAATTACGAAGTTATTTAAAGAAATCATTTTTTTTTAAAACTTCTGACAACAATAACTTTCGAACGAATCAACCTATTTTGATGTAATTGGTGGCAGCCGACGGGTATTTTAAGAACAGCAATTAAATTGAATATAAAAGAAATGATTAGACTGTAAATTTAAAAGTTTTGTGAAAAGAAACTGTTCCTTTGAAATTTTTTATCATCTATTTCTCTTCAACGTATTAACCAATTTTGAAGCCGTTTGCGGCAATCGATGTCGTTTTATATGTTTGACACACTGATTAGATTTTGGAATTAATCGTTACATCTGTCTCAAAATCTACTGGTCCAAATCGGTCGAAACAACAATAAAAATCTGAACTTGGTGAAACCCTTTCGAACGCTACCAAGGTCGTTCAAATCGGTCAAGCCATTCAAAAGTTATGAGAGGTTTACATACACACACGTACAGACATGGTAACATCCTCATAGGAATAGTCAGTATAGCTTCCTAGGACCTCAAAACGACAAGCGTAAACGTTTAAGCGACAGTAGCCTAATGGCAGGGCGCGAACCGCGAATTCAAAAAGGTCGTGGGTTCGAATCTGCCGTTCGACTACTGGCCTGAACCACTCGTAACACAAGTAATTTCAGCTTACCACGAGTGGTTAATGGGAATATTAGTAATGTTTATAGCATTGTTAATATTCTTTTTAAAAAAGAAAAGAAAAAAGAAAGAAAAGAAAAAAGAAAACGTAAAAATTTTATGAAACCCTGATTTTCGAAAACTGGGGTATAACCAATATCACACCAATTTTTTGAAAATCATTAATTTCCATAGCGGGAAATTAAAAATTTTAATACAAAACGACATGATACCTGAAATATGGTATTCACTGCGATTGAGCCTGGTGAATGGTGATGAAGCAGTCATAGATGAAAGCGGGCTAACATTGCAGTTTTTAATATTAAACCGTACAAATAAAAATAAACACAAATAGTTTTAAAGAAATTATAAACTTCTAAATTCTTGCTGTCAGAAATCGAAGCCGGGATTTCCCGGAATCTACCTCAGCGCTAATATACTAATCAATGGCTTCATTGCGACAAATCTTTTTCAATTTAACAACAGAATTTAAAAGAAAGGGAGCTTTTGTATTATGTAAGCAGGCCGGGGCTTTAAATTTTTCTTTCTTTTGCTGACAAAGGGAGAGGGGGGAATATATATTAAAAATCTTAGGTAAAATAAAGAAATATAAACGAATAAAAATACTAATGCAACAATATTTGTAATTAAAATTAATAATACTATTTTTATTATTTCTAGTTAGTGTACTGAATATCTTTTCATATTTTTTGCCAAAAATAAATCGATGATTCTTTCGATACTCCATGTCCATGTTTTCTTTTTAATTACGAGTATATATAAGAATTAAAGCTTTTTCAACTCTTAAATTTAATAACCAGTATTTTAGAGACGGAAAAAATAAAACATTATATTAAAGTAAAACAATTGTAAATAACATAAATTATTAATGTTATACATACTGTATTTTTTACTCTTTTTTAACAACCCTAAGTAACCACGAAAAAACATCCGTGATGTGGGAATGGGAAAATATGCAAAGTAATACGGACAATCGCGCGCAGCGATAAAGGTTTATTTAGCTTGCGGGCGCAATTTATCTTATAAATAATAATTATGTAGGTTATTAAACGTCGGCAAGCAGTCATCATCAAAAGGGTGAAACTTCTGTACGTAGTACTATTATTTATTCTGTGGTCTAGGTCAATGTTAATAAAATTGTAAGCATTATAATCGGTGTCAATGTCTACACATTCACTAACATGAATTTTGCGAGTCTTAAAGTAATGATTTCTTAAATTTACGCGAACACTACACATTGAATAAAACTAAATTTACGGATTTTTTCGCGTTTATTTCACTACTTTTACTTATTTTTAATTCCCGACGTTTCGGGTGCTTTACAGCAACCATGGTAGTCCCCCCGTGACCATGGTTGCTGTAAAGCACCCGAAACGTCGGGAATTAAAAAATAAGTAAAAGTAGTGAAATAAACGCGAAAAAAATCCGTAAATTTAGTTTTATTCAAGAGTCTTAAAGTAGTTACTAGGCGGTGAAATTCCTTGTTTAATTAAAGATGTACGAATATCTAAGCAACTTTCGGATATTCCATTAGAATCAATAGTACATGCGGCGGTAACACTAATTATATTGCGTATTCCGTTCACTATTATTTATTTATTATGTGCGAGCAGCTATGCAGGTCTAGGTAAAGAGACCAGTATCACTGCGACCTAGAAGATCTATTGTGATCGCTGCTATGGCTATAGTTCACTGCTAAGCCCTATGTCTTCAATGAATCGAAGGAGTTGCTTAGCCGTGAGCAATTTCACTTCTTCTGGGCGGAGTAAATAGTGTCCCAGATGAGTGTTACGTTTGCGCATTAAGGGTCCGCAATCGGTTAGGATGTGTAGAGGTGTTTCTTCCGTTATGGAACAGACCGACACATCCTTGAGTTGCTTAGTCCCAGGATGGGCATGTGCTTTTTAAGACAACAGTGTCCAGTTAGGGCTCTTGCCAGAATGCGCAATTTATTTTCACTTAATCCCAGGGCTTCTGAATCGAATTTACGATCAAAATCCCGGATTAAGGTTTTAGAATGTTTTAAGCCTGGTGTGTCAGACAAGATCTTAAGTGATTTATTGTGATAAAGAGTTTCAAGGGTCAATCAGGCTAGGCTTCTTGAGATTCCACAAAATGGCTCGGGTCCAAATTGTGTGCACTTTGAGCCCTCCCGTCAAAATTTTATGGTTGACGTTGTGTTTTTGCAGATTGATTTCCGCACACCGAAGTATGGCGAAAATTTATGCCTGGAAGATAGAGGTGTATCTACCCAAATTCATACTAAGTTTGAATTTGGGGCGTTCCCCGTAAATTCCAAAGCCTTCTAATCCAAAAAAAGTGTATAGTGGACGCATGATATCTGAGATCATGAATAAGACCGGTGATTCCTTAATTGAGTCGAGCATGGATCTCAATCTGTAGGAGAACAAGCGCAGACCGCCCTGGGCGTTAATTCTATACAAACTAGCCCTCGCCTCCTTGTCTAGATAGAGATCAAGGGGCGTTAGGCATAGAATTGCATTAAGAGCCGCTCCAGGCGATGATCGCATAGCTCCAGTTGCCATTAGGCAGGCAGTCCTTTGTAGACTATTTAGTCTGTCCGCAGTCGTCTTTTGGTTGGCCTTTTGGAGAATCGGCCTCACTATGCTGCTGTACAGCCATAGGACCATACTGGGACGCAAGCCCTAGTTGTTCCCGACCAAACGACTGCACGTACCTAAAGCAATTTTTGCCTTATGGCATTCGTTTGTAAGGTGAGAGTTCCACGTTAGTTTTTGGTCGATTATTACGCCCAAGTACTTAACTTCCTTGGAAAATGGTACTTCTTTGCCATTAAGTTTTGGTTGGACTAATTTGTCCAACCGTTTCTTTTTGGTAAAGGATATTATCAGTTTAGGTTATCAGTTTTATCAGAATTAACTGATAAACTGTTATCCCTACACCAGTTATTTATGGTGTTTAGGGCTCTTTGTATTACTGACGATAAAGTACTTTGGCAAAAGCCCCTTGCAATGATCACAAGCTCCTCAGCATAACCCAATGTGTCAATACGTAGGTTTACCATTTTTTACAATAGTTGGTCAACCGTAAGAGTCCAAAGAAGGGGTGACAAAACACCTCCTTGTGGTTGCAACCTCAATCGAAGTTTGAAACTGCGCTATTTTTGCCTTTCTGTTTGAGAGCATCGACTTCACCTATATGATGGTTGTGAGGTCAACATTTTTATATGTTAGGCCCCCAATCAGAAGTGATGTGGGGCTACCTACCTAATATCTAGAAAGGTACAAAGAGCTATTTCTTTATCCTCCAGTGCTTTTTCGAATCTGTCAATGACACTGATCAGGGCTGTTTCTGTAGATTTGCCTCTGCGGTAAGCATGCTGGTTGTAATGTATGGGCCTCGTAACTAGAGCTACATATATCCCTTATATATCTATCTATAACCTTTTTCAATGTCTTAAGAAGAAAGGAAGATAGGCTTATAGGTCTAAAGGACTTTGGTAAAGCGTAGTCCTTTCTACCGGCCTTAGGTATAAATAGAACCTTGACAATTGTCCATCGTTCTGGAATATATCCCCATGCAAAACTTGCTCTGAAGATTTTCACCAGATAAGGAAGAAGGATGTCGATACCCCTCTGTAGTTGGATGGGAATTATTTCATCCTCCCCGTTTGATTTAACTGGTTCAAAGGAG